GGGTGATTTCTCACTTTCTGTCTCCAATGTCTCTGTCTGTCTGGCGAGCGCACGCACCCTATAGTGAAAATCTCTCCAAAAAATAAATAAATAAATAAATAACCTTACTGGGTATTTTGTTTTTACCTTCGAAGGTCTGGTGAAAAACGCTCAAGATCATTCCATTTAGATGACCAAGATGGACATCCGGGGTGCTGTGGACGCTGCCGTCCCAACCAACATTATTGCGGCCAAGGCGGCGGAAGTCCGAGCGAACAAAGTGAACTGGCAGTCCTACCTTCAGTAAGTGCAGTGTGCTGTGAGTCAGGGCTGGTCATGTGCTTTCACATCAGACTTTTTCCCGGTCATGCTGCTCTGAGAGAGTCCTGGAAAAATACTAACACATGTGGGAGAAGCACTTCCTCCTTAGAGTAATGAGCTGTGTGGGGACAGCAGAGTGTGGTGGAAACAGCTCGGGGCCTGCTGGGGAAGCAGGGCTGCTTGTTGTACTTTTGCCTTCTGGTCTGGAAGGGAGGACTTCATGAATGAGGGGGAGCGTGCGCCGAGTGTTCATGGCTGTGCTGGGCCAGTGCAGCCCAGCATGCCGCGCACAGCTAGTGAAAAACATGGATGTTGGATTGAGAGCCTCCGTCCGAATTCTGAATCTCTATACCCGTTTGGTGATCTCGGAGGGTCAATAAAGTGAGTATGAAATGGAGATACACGTCCCACAGCCTTGTTACTACAGTAACATATTTGAAGTATTAAACACAGGTTGAATACAAGTGTGTTGAATACGCTCAATAAGTTTTAGTTCTTCTCCCTTCTTGTATTATGAAGAGTTCAAATGCTGGCCTTTCAGTATTCTGTATTTATCTGTAAAGTAAGCATTCATTTATTCTTGACCACATTTTTTTTTTTTTTTTTTTCTTTTGGAGAGGTTTTCACTATAGGGTGCGTGTGCTCGCCAGACAGACAGAGAGAGACAGAGAGACAGAAAGCGAGAAATCACCTCCCAGAGGGGATGGTCATGCCACTATCCCTTCTCCTCCATTCTCCTCTCAGGATCTTGGGCATGCATGCACACGTCCCCGGCGTGAGTTTTAAGCCACCGGGTCCGGGACGCGAACCACGGTCGACTACGTGGGAGTCCAGCGACATAGCCATTATGCTAACTGCTGGTTCCCTTGACCACGTTTTATTATGTTGACTTTTTCATGTATGTCTGTTTACAAACACAGATCTTTTATTTTGGTATATTCGTAATGGAGTCACTAAAGACATTTAGTTTGAATTTGCATATGCATTTTCAAAAACAAGTTGTGGAATGTGCAGTTTTATATTTAGCAGGTTGATTTGTAGTAGGAAGGATATGAAGCATACAGAATGATCCTTTTATTTCTGTTAATTCAGTCACTTCTCAGACATTTATTTATGACTTTCCAGGTTTGAGGCATTTCTCTGGGAAGATACAGAACACCATCCCTGAAGGATTTCATACTCTAGTAGAGAAGTCAGATGTATAAACAGATCATTAAAACTCAGCTGTTAGGGACCAGCAGGTGGCGTGGTGGTTGAGGCGCTGACTTTTACATAGCCGACTGTGGTTTGAGTCCTGGACCTGGTGACTTGAAAGTCACTCCATATATGTGTGTGTGCACGCCCAAAATCTCAGGAAAAGAATGGAGGAGAAGGGATTGTGGCATGGCTATCCCCTGCTTTGGGGGTGATTTCTCATTTTCCCTCTCACTGTCTCTCTCTCTCTGTCCCTCTCTGGGCGAGCAGGTGCCCTATAACAAAACACAAACTAAATGAAAACAGTCAGTATGTTAATTATGAGAATGGAAGGATGCACAGGGTCTGATAGCTGCATGGAAAAGATAGCTATTCCTGATCACAGGATGTTTTCCTGACGGCATGGTCCCTGAACTGATTTTCACGGAAGAGTGGCAAAAAAGAGTAGCCTTCCACGGGCGGGCCTGGTGGCTTTAGAGAACCAGATCCTGCGTGGCCGACTGTGCAGTTTGAATCCAGTCTCCAAAGACTTGAAAACACGTGGGGCTTGTGTGCGTGTGTGTTCCACGTCTCGACAAGATGGAGAAATGGAGGAGAAGAGATTGTGGCATGACTGCATCTAACTGGGGGGTGCTTTCTCTCTCTTCCTGTGTCTCTGTCTCTCTGGAGAGCACATATGCCCTTTGCCAGATTGGGGAAAAAAAAATGGTCTTTCCAAGTATCAGTAGAGCAGACGGTGGGAGCAAAGGCAGGGAAGCCAGAACAACACGCTGTGGGCGGAGGGGCGTGTGGAGACGGGTGGTGGTGGGCCTTCTGGAGCCCAGCAGTCGCGAGAGTGGAAGAGGCAGCCAGGGCCGGCCGCGAAGCTCCTGTGTGCCATTGAAGAGAGTTAGGACGCGTTTCTCTCAGTCAGTGCTTTACTTTGCTTCTCTTTCTTTTTTTGTTTTTCTGTTGTAACTTGCTAGAGGGGCACGTGTGCTTGCAGGGAGAGAAAAGTGAGAAGAAAAGTGAGAAAGCAACTTGCATGGAGGATGGTCAGGCTGCAGCCCCTTCTCCTTTTCTCCCTCCTCTCAGTATTTCATGCATGCCTGCACACGTGCCTAGCATGTTTCTCGAACCGCTGGGTCTGCCATGTGGGATTCAGCCACCTTAACCACTACACTACTGGCCGACCCAGTCAGTGGTTCTAAGCTGATACTTTTTTAAAAAAACATTTTATTTATTTCCTCTATGAGCAAGAGACAGAGTGACAGTGTTCCCAATAGGGTCCCGATGCCATGATCCACCCCCAGCCTGCCCAGGATCTTGGGGTGGACTCAGGGAGGTGTCTGGACACAAACCCAGAACCTTCCTGTGTGGGTCAGTTTTGCAGCATCACATTTTACCGCTGTGCCACTGTCTGACCCCTCAAGCTGATTCTTTTTTGAAAGATTTTTGTTACAGGGCGTGTGTGTTCGCCAGAGAGAGCAAGAGAGAGAGAGAGACAGAAAGAAAGTGAGAAATCACCCCTCCCCCCTGGCGGGGGTGTGGTCATGCCACAATCCCTTCTCCTCTGTTTTCCTCTCAGGATCTTGGGCATCCATGCACACGTGCCTGGCATGAATTTTAAGCCACGGGGTCCAGGACTACAACTGCGGTCAACTACACGGGAGTTTAGCAGCAAAACCATTCCACCATCTGCTGGTCCCCCTCAAGCTGATTCTTAAGCCACCCTGAGATTGACGCGAAGTCTAATAAGGAGGCTCAGCATGTAAAACAGATGAAAATGGTAGCTTAGTGGGGGGCAGTGACTGCCCCAGAGCCTTCTTGAGACTGCCCACCATCCCATCCTCACGAGGGTTCGGAGGTGCACGGTTTTGAAATCGCTGCTGTAGTGTTGGTCCACTGCAGCTCGAGCTAGGAGTCAGGTGACCAGGCCGGCCATTTTGTTGGATTGCTCTGCTGAGAACGTAAAGGTGGGTTTTGGGTAGTGAGCCCAGAGGCAGGGAGAGGTGTAGCGGTTGTTACGGTGGTTGGAGTGGGTGGACTGGAGAGATCTGAGAACATCTTAGTGGTGGATTTGAGGTGTAGGGGGTGAAGAGAGAAGTCTGGGGTCATTTCTGGGATACCACGAGAAACTGAAGGAAAGGAGGAGGGACTTGCTGATTTTCCCTGTTCATCGGTGTCTGTAAGCGCTCCAACTTAATCAGCATTCTGAGCTCTTTTCCCAATAACTTTAGTCCAAAGTGCATTTGGGCAGAGGACGAGGAGTGTCCTGTTTATAAAGCCTGAATCTGTTTATAACTTAAATAGAATCTTACCGCTGATCATAAAGCACTGGCAGGCGGGCAGCACTCTCTGCATTGGCATCTGGAGAGTTTTTTGTTATGTGCATATTTTTCATTGCTTTCCTTCTGTTCCTCTTGTCCCATGGCCTCTGTAGTAGGTATACCTTATTTCCCCTTTTCCCACCTCTGCGCTGTATTCTTCTGTCCATCTCACGGATTTCTAAACTCCCTTCTCTGATGGCTCTGGGCTGGTGCTCACCAGACACTCACCGTGTGCCCACTGTGGAGGCTGCTGACGTGGGGACACCGGTGAGCGTGGAAAGGGCCTCTGCGACACTTCCAGGTTGTCGGAGGCTGGACCCGCCAGGCTAGCACTCTAACTCCGGGTCGCGCTGTGCTGATACAGTAACGCCTGCAGGGGTTCCTCTTGTCAGAACGCTAGCTGCTTTTGTCCCTCACAAATTAGCGTGTTACTATGAGGATGTATTTTAAAAAGTGTATTTATACTTGATCTTTTCCTTATTCACTAACTCAGCTAGAGAGTGCGTAAGTGACGGGTGCGGCCGTGTTCCAGTTAAACTGGAATGCAATAAAACTGTGTCTTTGGTGTTTGTGTAATTTTTACATGGGGCAGATGCACTCACGAGGGAGGAGAGAGAGAAGAGAAAGGACTCTCTGGGGAGGACGGCCATGCCACAGGCCCTTCTCCTCCAATCTCCTGTAAGGATTTTGGGCACACACGCACACATGCCCAGTGTTTTTCAGAACATGGGGTCTGGGACTCGAACTGCACAGTTGGCCATATGGGATGTAGCTGCATTAACCATTATGCCGCCAGCTGGCCCCAGTAAAACTGTATTGTGGAGAATACAGAATCATCATCAAATACCATTTTTACTCATGAATTAAAGTCTAATGAGAAAGCAGACTTTTAAATAAGTAATACATTCTGAGAGACCAGCAGTGGGCGTAATGGCTGTGTCGCTGGACTCCCATGTAGTCAACTGTGGTTCGAGTCCTGGACCTGGTGGCTTAAACTCACGCTGGGCTCGTGCGCATGCGTGCCCAAGATCTTGAGAGGAGAATGGAGGAGAAGGGGTTGCCGTGTGGCCATCCCTCCGGAGGGTGATTTCTCGCTTTCTGTCTCTCTGTCTATATTTCTGGTGAGCGCATGTGCCCAATAGCAAAAACCTCTCCAAAAAAAAAAAAAAACATTCTAGTAAGTGTTAAAGTGCAGACACGTATCCAACGTATGCGTCTACGACAGTGGGAAATCCACAGCGGGCTCACTTCATTGGACTGTCTGTGGGGGGTGGAGGGGCCTCAGAAAGGCCTTCTGTGGCTTCCCAGTGGAAGGTCGAGCTGGGAGTCAGATGGCCAGATTTGTTGCTCTGTAAAGATGGATTTTTAGATGATTTATTTTTGTATCTGCGTATTTTTTGTTTCCCACTGGAACGTAGACTCACAGAGGACTGTCTAATTCATTGCTGTGCTGCCTGTTCCTTTTTTCTCTATTTTTTC